ACTGCCCGTCTACCAAAAGGACAGACCATGCCTCCGCTGTGCCCCAGACAGGCCTGCGAAAGGAGAAATCATCTTGCCACCCACATCTTTAGCTGGTAAAGTCACCGCCCCGGGGTGGCTGGGGGTCCGGGGTGGCTGGGCCCAGGGAGCCAGGCTGCTGGTTGGGATGCTAGCTTCCTGATCCTCTCTGAGCCCCTTCTTCATCTGAGAAATGAGGCCATCAACAGCTAATTGCGAGTGGGATGAGGCTGTTCATCATGTCACTTGGCTCTGGGAGGCGTATGCGAGTTCTAGTAATGCAGAGGGAGACTCCCAGGGCAGGGTGTGCTGGGCTGGAGCTAGGTGGGCCGGTCAGTCAGAGCTCCTGTCTCTACCCAGCTCCTGGCCTGACCATCTGCCCTGGGCAGGGGTGGCTGAGAGGGTTCTCTCTTCTGATCAGGACTAGCTCTGTCCCCCAACTCTCTCTGCAGTTGCAGCAGGGAGAAAGAGTTCCCTTGAGGGGCCCTCAGAGCACTTCCTGAGCATTGAGACACAGGAGACAGGAGCCCAGAATGGGAGGTGCAGCGGCCTGGGGAGGTGGCGGGGACCTAGACTGTTAGCTGGGACTCCCAGCTCTGAGGCTCCTCAGCATACAGTGGGCTCCCTCTACTGCAGGGCCCCAAGCCTGGGAGCCCTCCTGCCTTCCCAGGGTCCTGTAGGCGAACATCATTATCCCTCCCTAGAGGTGAGGAAACAGATACTCAGAGAGGGCAGTCACTTGCCTACGGTCTCCCAGCCAGGGTGCAAGCTCTAGCTCTCCAGCCAGGTGGCCTTGGATAAGTCATTTCACCAAGGTGTTTAAGTCTCCTCGCCCAGCAAATGGGCGCTCACATGGAGGGCAGAGGCCCTGAACCCACGGTGAGCTGCCAGTCCCAGTCTGTGCCACAGGAGGCATGTAAGGTCAGGCTTTGTCAGGAGGCCGCAGTCAGGGCACCATGGGTGCCTGCTTGCCAGTCGGTTTCCCCTGGAGCCCTGGGCAGTGTTTCTCCCAGGCGCTCTCGTGGGGGCGATGGGGTGGGGGTGGGCTGTGACTTGGGCATTTCAGGGCACACTTTGGCCAAGGGGCTTTCTTACTCCAAGGGGATCTGTGGGTAGGAAGCTCAGCTTCAAACCGTGGTGACCAGCGGGAGTGGGGGACGGGGCTCCCTCTGGCAACCCCGCAGAAGCAAGAGGGGAGTCGGTCACCGGATGGCCACCCCCCACTGTGGTCACCGGGTCTGTGTCATATGCCTTTCTGGTCACCTTCCTGGGAGAATCAACTTGCCTGACCCTTATGAGTCACCATAATTAGCATCCCCATTTTACAGATAAAGAAAGAGGCTAAAAGAACTTTCTTTTCTTTCTTTTTCTTTTTTAAGATTTATTTATTTATGCATACAGAACTGGGGTACAGGCCAGAGGTGCAGGGGTGATGAGAGGCTTCACCTGAGACAGAGTGGGGAGCAGAACAGGCAGATCGACAAAGTAACTGCTGAGGGGAGCAGCAGGTGGGTCAGGAGGGGTCTGCTGCACCCTGTGAGTCACCTTCAGGGCCCTGATCGAACTCAGACTGAAGCGAGTGCAGCCAGCTTGCAGTGCTGCGTCCTAACCCACTGGGCCACCAGGGATGGCCTTTCTTTGTCTTTTTAATGAACCTGTTCGGGTTGCAGGGAGCTGGGAGTGGGAGTGGTTTCAGAGTCAGGGAGTTTGGCTCCCAAGCCTGGAGTTGCCTTACTTCTCATTGGGCAACATGCCTGCAGGTCGGTTCCGTTTGCTGATATTTGAAGTTGAGCAAGTCCACAGTGAGACAGACAGGGCTAGACTTCTGCAGGGCCCTTCACTGCACTCCTGCTATTGCCCTTCTGTGGCATTGTTGAATAGCCACCCTCTGGCTGGCAGGAAAGTCTGGACTGGGAGTCAGGTTCGAGCTCCACCACCGGCTGGCTGGGGGACCTTGGGCAAGGCATAGTTCTTCTCCAGGGTCTCCTCTTCTCTGCAGAAAGAAAAGAGGTTGAACTTTAAGGTCCCTGGCAGACCTGAGGCCAGTGAGTAAAGTGCATTTGGGTACCTTGATCCAAGCTGGCCTGTCTGGAGTTGTTGTTACGGGGTCTCCCTGCCAAGACAAAGAGAAGGCTGCCCACGGCAGCTCTCCATAAACACCTTACTGTGAAAGAGAGAGGCAGGGAGCAAGTGAAAATTAGCTGGGGGAGTCTTTTCGTCCCCCACCCCAAATGCAGTGGGCTGTTGAGCCTGCTCTCTGGCCAGGGTGTTGCCAAAGCCTTCCACCTCACCTCCCAGCCTGGCCCACTCAGAGAAGAGGGTGGGGGCCCCCATCTTTCACTTCTGCTTCCGCCAGTCATGGCTGGCTGGGCTTCTGAGAAGGGTTCCTGCAGCCTGGTTATAAAAGGGCAAACCTAGGCAAGACCCCACCCAGGACTGGAAAGTTCAGTCTCTGTGATAGCCGTGGTCTGAGCCCAGACCCTATAGATAGTGAGGGGGATAATGAGTGAAAGGAGAAGAGGCAGGAACCCAGCGGGGAGTAGAACATGTTTCTCATGGCCCTACCCACCTGCCTCCCAAACTCCATTTTCTTCTGTCTAGCAAGAACCATTCAGAAAGTTCTCAAATTCTGCCCTCCAAACCAACTCTCCCCTCACCTCCTCAGGAGCTCCCCTGGATTCCTGTGTGCTGTTAGAGTGGGTGGAATGGCAGCTGCTCCCCCAGATTTGTCCACCTCACATCCCTGGAGTCTGTGATCATGACCTTTTATGGAAAGTCTTTGCAACTGTAATTAAGTTAAGCATCTTGAAATAAGATCATCCTGGATTATCCAGCAGACCTGGCATCCAATGCAGTGCCCTTTTAAGAGAAAGCAGTGGGATCAGATCGAGGTACAGAAGTGGTGATGTGACCCCTGGGGCAGAGGTTGGGGTGATTGGTCACCAGGTCCCAAGTCAAGGAACGGTGCCAGTTCCGGAAGCTGGGAGAGGCCAAGTAGGTCTCCCTCAGAGCCTCAGAGGGATGATGGCCCTCCCAACACCTTGATCTTGACCACCTGGCCTCTAGACCTGTGAGTGAATAAGACTCCCCTGTTTTAAACTATGAAGAACAGCTAGTGCTTGTATAACAATGAGAAAAAGAAATCTATACCCAGCGTGAGGAGCGTACCTGTTCTCCCCACTCCAGGATACTGGTTTCCTCTCACAACCCAAGCTATGAGCTTCACTAGCATGTCTCAGTGGTCCCATTCAGTGTGTGTGTGTGTGTGTGTGTGTGTGATATGCTCCTATGATGGAAAGGCGTTCTGGACCTTGAGCTGCCAGAATAGATGCTAGGCTCTCTCCAGTGAACTGAAATCAGTGGCTTGAAAAGTGAACACCAATACTGTTGATGGCTGGCGGTGCTTGTGGCCTTTATGCAGATGTTTGTGATATTTTTGTGGGTAGAAGTATGCCCTAGGAACTTCACTCTTTCATATCAACTAGCTTCTGGTCAAATTGGTTTCATCAGGTGTCATTTCACTTAAAGTTGCACTTTCCAAAGTCTGTTGGACATAAGTGAAGACTGAGCATGCTTTGCTGTAGGAGCTCCAGCAAGGAACATACCATGGAATCTCGGCAACCTGATAGGGGTGGGATGGGGGCTCTGGGACCACGTGGACGGGGCTTCACTTCAAAGCTACCTACTAGGAAGACTGCTTAGCCTAGTTGAGCCTCAATGTCCTCACCTACAAAATGGTGACAATAATTGCTACCTTACCAGGCTGATGTTTTGTTTGAATAGCTTTATTTGAATCCAATTCACCTACTTGGGTTCCTTTTCAAATTTTCACACAGCACGCAACCATCCCATTTCCAACATGAGAGCATTTTCATCATCCCCCTTGAAAGAAGCCCCAGACCCTTGTAGTTACCCCTTTACGGCCCCCCACACTTCTCCCCAACCCTAGGCCACCACTAATCCACTTTCTGCCTCTGAAGATTTGCTTCTGCAATGGAATCCTTCAACCTGTGGGTCTTCATTTCTGGCTTGACTCAGCACCAGTTTCTCAAGTTCCATCCACGTTGTGCATACTTTAGTGCCTTTTTCCTTTCTATGGTTGAATATTATTTCATTGACTGGATTTACTTTTTTTTTTTTATCTATCCAACTATTGATGGACATGTGAATTGGTTTCTTTTCTTTGACTCATATGAACTATGTGTCTATGTGTTTGTATACAAGTTTTTGAAAGGACACATCCAGGATTGCTTGAAAGATTAAATGAAGTAGTATTGATGGTACTTGATAGGTCCTTTGATGGGTGATGATGAAGGGTCTGAGAGCAAATCTGGCCCAACTCCTTCAGTTTACAAATTGGGAAGCTGAGAGACAGAGAGGAACAGAGTCTTGCTGTGGTCACCGAGGAAGTAGAGCATAACATTTAAACACAGTTTTTGAGTCATAATGCCCAGCACCAAATCCTGTCATCATTTGGACTTGGGTTAACTTATGTAAGTCACTTCACCTTTCTGAGCCTCAGTTTCTCATGTGTAAAATGAGGATAGCAATAGTATTGACCTTATATTATTGCTGATAGGAAAAATAAATGTTCCAGTTCCTGTGTCTGGAACACAACCAGTGTCTATAATTCTCAGGTGCTGTCATTCGGGACAGCGACAGATGTGGAATTCCGTTCCTTGGTGTTAGACATCTTGAATCTACACTGCCCCAGTTCCCCTTCTGTATCATGGAATCTCCCAAGCATTATTATAAGGGAGGAAATATGATTTCCTCTCCCCACTGTCCTGATTGGGAGCGTCAGAGGTGCTGCGTAAGAACCTTGGTTCACATTCTTTGCCCAGCCCCCCCCCCCGCCCTCACTGAGAAACCCAACTGGGAATTGTGGTAAGTAACACACCTCTGTGTGTTTCCAACACCCCGCGAGATGACTGTGCATGTCTTCCCATGCGTGTCTTTCAGGCAGCGGACAGTGTGCAGCCATGGAGTTGGGGACTTTAGAAGGCGGGTACCTGGATCTTCTCAACAGCAGTGCAGACCCCTTGCAGCTTTACCACCTCTATGACCACAGGGACCTCTCTGAGGAAGAAGAGCAGCTGGAGCTCTTCTCAGGTGGGCTTTATTCCCTTTGGCCCCTTCTGCGTCCTCCGTTTCCCTCAGCCTGCTCTAGAAGCAGTGGGTAACCTAGGGAAATGTTGGCCGCGGAACTCCGGTCAGCACCACGGACAGCTCCAACGACACCCTGCCGCTCCCTCCTGCCCCTACAAGGGCTTCCTTCCGGATCTTCCCTGCACTCAAAGACTTTCCCTCCCAGAACCTGACATGGATACCATCAACTGCGAACAGCTCAGCAAGCTGTGGTGTGAAATGGAAGGTGATGAAGAGACTACGGATGTTTATGCTAATATCGGTGAGGAAACGTTCTCATTCCAGAAAGGGGGAAGAAGTTATTTTTTTCTCTCTCTTGTCAATCTCACCTACTCACCTACAGACATAGAAGACCCCTCCCTCAGAAATTAGGGCAAGAGGGATGGCAAGTAAGGACTGGGAGAGTGGGGACTTCAGAGAAGACAGGAGGCGGAGACTAGCTAGGGAAAGAGGCTCCTTCACTAATGAGCTCCACACCAACAAAACCTCCATCTCTATAGCTTTTTCTATTTCTTGTTCTTCTTTTCCTTTCTCCCACAAAGTCTGTACCACGCCACATCCCTCTTTTTCTCCCTGAATTCTAAGTCAAATTACTCTAGACTTTGTAATAACTACCATCCGAGAGGCACTCAGAGCAGGCCAGCCACTGGGTATGTTATCTTATTGAGTCCTTACATCAGCAAAGAGAACAGGTGCTATTAGTCTCTGTGTTATAGATGAGGCGGTTGGGGGGCCTCCTCATGGCACAAAGGGTTAAGTCTCAGCATTATGAAGCTAACAGCAGCCACAGCCACTGCAGCACAGTTCGATCCCCAGCCAGGGAGCTGACCTAGACCTCTCCTGCCCTACCTGCTGCTCCCCTCAGCAGTGTATTTCAGTAGATCCACCTGTTCTGCTCCCCACTCTGTCTCTGATGAATCCTGTCATCTCCCGGCACCTCTGGCCTAATATGCATAAATAAATAAATATTTTAAAAAATAGATAAGGAGGTTGGGAATTAGATAAGGCAAGGCTGTGTTAGAGAGAGTAGGGGACGGATGTGAAATGTCAACCTAGTTCTTCCTTTTCTCAGCCACAAAAAGGAATGTTTCTCATTGGGGAGGTTTGCTAAGGCTTAAGCTGAGAGGCTGATTTGCAGCTTAAATAAAAAAGAGCTTCAACTTTAAGACCAGGGCAGACTCTTTGGGGAGAAGTTTCAGTGGAGATGAGACGAAATAAAGTATTCCTCCTCCCACCAGGCTGTCTACTCTCTCCTACAGATGCATTTTGTTGGATTAGAAAATAATACTCCTTCTTTTGATGGGCACAACCCCCGTTAGAAAGTAACAATTCCATTATCAAGTGCAGGCTGCCTTCCTTTTGGCCTTTTTGGTCAAGGACACTCGTACAGTGAACCGCCTGCACAGCATTCTCTTGTGGCAAACACAGAACCACATTGCTCAGCAGATCTGCGATCAGCATGAAGATGGCCAGTCTCCCCCCAGCGCAATAACTCCAGCATCACAGATAGAGAGGATAAGCTACCATGTGTGTCTCCAAAATTACAGAACTGAGAAACAGCAGGCTTCTGTTCCTTCCTTGGGATTTTACTTGGGGGAAGCAGACAAATTTGGGACTGAGGGCACTCAGTAATGAGGGATTTGGCTCTCACTTAGGATTTGGGGGCCTTTTTTCTTTGAAGAGCATAGGCAGTAGGAGCTGCCTAAGTAGGTGGGAGAAGCTTCACCCATGTCTGCTCCTGCCATCCGTGGGTTTTCTCTGTGCTCTGAGAGGGCCGTGCCTGGGCACATGCAATCATTCGAGGCACTCTGAAATATTACACTGGCTTCCATATGTGTGAAATGGAGATAATAAAACTCCCTCCATGTGATGGTTGTGCAAATTGAGTGAGTTTCTGGGTGTAAAGTATTTAGGAAAGGACTGCAAAGAGTTAAACATTCACTGAGCATTAGGCACCACTCACCACTGACACCACCATGAGCATTATTACCAAGTTTATCATCTTCAGCATCACCATCACCATCCACCACCACTACTGCACTCCATTCCTTAGCTCATAAGCCTCTTGATTCCCCCGCCACCCCGCTATAAAATCAAGCCCTAACTTAGTCTCTGCCCCCAGCTTTTAAGATCTGTTGCCGGGAACACTTCCTCTGGAAAGCCCTCCCTGATTGCCCCACCTCACCCTATACTTTCTCTTCTGACTTCCTGACATGACAACTATCTTCTCGTTGGCCTCAAGCTTTCTGGGTTTCATAGAATGACCCACCACTGTTGAGCACCTCCTGTGTACTGGCTAATGTGGTGAATACAGAGCCTCTAATCCTCACCGGCCATCCTGGCTTTTAGGCATTCTTTGTTCTTGTTCCACAGATGAGGAAATAGGGGCCCAGAGAGAAGTAACTGGTCCAGGACCACACAGCTAGTAGGCTTGTGGTTAGTAGTGCTAGAATTTAAACTCAAACCCACGGCAACGTTATTGTTGCCATTGTCTTCATTGTACTACTTTGTAGCAACAGATCTATTTTCGTGCATACATGACATCATTCCTTCCGTTAGGGGCCCTACAAGTTCAGTGTTCTTTCCTGCATTCATTTATTCAGCAACCATTTGTTGAGCCGCCCCCACTGTGTGCCTGGCCTGCAGGGTCACAGCTCTCCGGGTGCCCAGCACAGGGTGGACATTCAGGGAGAACTCACTGGTCCCTCTTTTCCTGACAGCGGCACTGGACCAGTACGTGTTCCAGGACTCTCAGCTGGACAGCCTGAACAAAGACATCTTCAGTAAGTCGGGGTTCCTGGGTCAGCCTGCCTTTCCTCTGTTCCCGGGGGAGCACCACCCGTCCAGGAGGTTCAGTTGCCTCCACAGTTGGAATAGGGAGGCCCCTTTGGGGATCCATTGACTGAGTGTCAGTGGCTTTGGTTTTTCTCCCAAGTAGAGATAGGATTGGATGGATTGGAAGACGTGAGCAGCGAGACTGTAGAACTGCTGGAGGAAGCAGGGCAGAGACGCCAGAAAAGATGTGAGTGCCCCCCGCCCGTCCCTGGCCCTGCCCAAGCCAGGGTCCTGGCCCTGCCTGGGACCCCAAGCCTGTTGTGGCTCCCGGTCGCGCCCCTTGCTACGTCCTGTCCTCGCGGCTCAGGCTTGGTGCGGTCCTCTCCACGCACCACTGCTCCCTGACCGGAAACACGATCCGGGTGCTATTCTCCTGGTGGGTTTCTGTCTCGGCTGTCAACGTCATCTCCAAAAGCACATTTTGGTTCTGGCTTCTCATTCATCCTTTCTTGTCACCGCAGCATTTGTGGGAGGTCACTGCACACCAGTTCTGGAGTCAGTAAGAACTGGGTCTGCATCCTGCAGCTGCTATTTAGGGCCTGGGTGAGCTCGGGCAGGTGCCTGGCCTGCCCTGTGCTCTTATGCAATCTCACTGCCTCCTTCATCAGTCTTTATCTGGCAGCCAATGTGGCTTTTAAATGTAAATCAGATCTTTTTACTGTCCTGCTAACCCTCCAAAGGATACCAAATAATACCACAAAGCTTACTCATCTAGAACCTTCCAGCCCTCCAAACTCCCCATGAGCCACTGAGCTCCGGCCACGGGCTTCTCCCCACTCCCGGAACCCACATACTGTCTGTCGGCCAGTGGGTCACTGCAGCATTTCCAGCATTTCGCAGTGAACTGCGCTCTCCATTCTTTCTCTCCTGGATCCCTTGCTAGGAGCCATGGGGAGTTTTCTCCTTGATGACCAAGGCCCTACCCTAGCACCCAGTGGCTTCCAGGGTGCTCTTGTGAAATAGGCACCACCAACCCGCCTGTTTTCCACAAGGGAGACCGAAGACTGAGAGGTCAAGCTATGAAGATGCAAAGTTTATTTATTTCTTCTTCAACTCAAACCCCTCTGGCGCCCCGCCCCGCGGCCCTGCCTCTCCCATGCTGGGCACTGGGGCTGGGGCTCAAGCAGACAGGGACAGCGCCAGTCAGAGGCAGGGCCGGGACCAGTTCTCTTCAGGCCCTAAGGCCTGCGGGCGCCATGAGCCCCCCAGACTTGAACTGCCGCTTCTCCGGGGGGCTCACTGTGATGTTCTCTCTGCAGCCTTCCCAGAGGAGCTGCCTGTGGACCCGAAGCACAGGAAGCTAGGTGAGCTGAAGCACAGGTGTGGGGCTGCGAGCAGGAGCCTCCTTGGGTGCACACTCTGCATTTGAAAACCAGCACCCGGAGAGGTGAAGCCGGAGAGGTGAAGCCGTTGGCCAGGGTCACACAGCCAGGGAGAGGGCATCGGGGTGCGAACCAAGACCACGACCCCATAGCCTGTGTTCCGCAGTTGACAGCTGCTGGGACACTCAGCTTCTGCTCCAAAGCTGTCCCCTGCCCGCCCCCTCATAATCCAGAGTCAGAGCAGAGGCGCTCCCCTGCCATCCCCACCCCAGGGAGGCCCCCCTGGCACCCACCCATCTCACCCCAAGGTCTCTCTGACATGACCCCCCCTTCACAGCTGAGCCTCCCGCCTTGCCCACTGTGACTGGCACTTTCCTGGTGGGGCCAGTGAGCGGCTCTTTGGCTCCATCTGGTCTGTTCTGCCAGGACTCAGCATCAGTCCAGCCCCTGCTGGAGGAAACCGTGCTGGCACCTGGTATGTTAGGGGCTTGGAGAGGGTGGGTATCCCCCCCAGAAGTGGCTAAGGCAGTGTCAGGAATCTCCCCCCTCTACCCTCCGTCTGCGTCACCCACTGCCATTCCAGCCAGTCTTAAGCTCAGGGTCCCTGTCAGCTCAGCCCTTGCCAGAGACCAGGCCTGTGGGAACGCACC